ACCTCGTCTGTAACAGTACAACAATTCTCTACTTTTACACGTAACATAAGCTTTTCAATAATAGGACCGACAATTTGCAATTTTTTAATATACAGTGAGTTATGATTTTTAATATTACAATAACAAATTATTGAAACATGAAAGAATTTATAATTGAAATTGAAATTGAAATACTTAAGTTCGAATTATATATAGAATTAAACCACGGCATTAATAGTGTAGGTACTATCATATTTAATACTTTGAAAGTGAATAGGATATAAAAAGAAAATTTATTTCTTAATTCAAGATTATACTTCAGTCAAATACATTAGATTTAGCAGAGTTTCACTAACAGGATTTAAAAAATCAAATTTAAAGAACTTTCTGAATCTGATATAATTCTCGTACTAATTAGTTAGTAATTTTATTTCCCGATTCTTTGTTATACGGTTGAGCATGATGTTTCTCTCAGCATTGATACTATTCAAATTTACATCCAGTGTTAGGCCACTTGAAGTCTTAGTCACATATTATATAGTTTCCTTTAATCTAAAAATATATATGAAATTTAAGTATATGAAATTAAAAACACTATGTAAAATATTTTAATTTCATATTAATTATTTCCTGTAAAGCTTATGTTTTTTAGTAAATGACGGTAAACCTAAAAGATAACTTAATCAAATACTTAAATTTCATTGAAAATTAATCAATAATAAATGTTTCAAATGTTAGAAATTTTTGTATAAAAGGAGGAATGAAATATCTATCTGATATAAATAGCATATTTTATACTAGCAGAATATATAAAAGATAACACTTGTGAGTTTTAAAAATTATATAATTTTTTATTTATCATATATCATTTATATAAAAAAGTTTGTTTGTAGGAATTTTAATTTTACTTTAATGTAAATTTGATTTTTAAAAAGAAAATCCATATTATAAATTTGGAAAATTCTTATATTTCCGTTTGTTGTATTGACTAAAATATTCAAGTGAAATTTACTTTAACAAATTTATACTATTAGTGAAATTTCTACGGTATCTGAAAATGATTATAAACTTTATACATTTACTGTAATTAGCCTATCAATGATAGCTAATTATTAAAATCTTCAAATTTAATCAAAAAGACTATTCAAAATTAATAACTTATGATTTAGTAGATGAGCCAATACAGAAAGATAGACTTTACATTATTTATTTAAACTTTGAATTAATATAGATATGATATTACCAAACTATATATACTTGCTGTTAAAATAGTTTCAGCTTTTTACATCAAGTTAAGTATAAATAATATGTCCTTTGAACATCTGATTTATGTTAACTATTCCATGATATATATATATTGATATCAATTCTACAAATATAAAAGATATATATAATGTTTATTTATGTAATAGCTATATATATACCTATACGAATTATTATGTAACTGTGTATAACTATAAAAGTAATTTCAATAATATTTTATTTTATAAGTTTTTTTATTCTAATAATTATTTTATTTATTATATATATTTATATTCAAATATATAATAGAAGAGATGAGTATATTTATTTTTCTTACAAAAATCAAAACATTATAATAAAACAATAAATGTACTAGAAAGTATTGAATTTCTATGTTTTATTTGCACTTTAGTTGCTAAATGCGACATGCTCACTTATATTAATAATTCTTCATATTATCTATTAGAAAAGTAATTTTTATTATTTAATATAAAACATATGCTTTACTATTATATTAATTAAACTTTTGTTTATATTATATGTCTGATTGTTGAAACAATTGCTCTTTTGATTTTATTATTTTTACAAATGATATATATTTTCATATTTCATCATTTATTGATATTATAAATTAAATCAATTATATTTTATTGTATTTTAAAAATCTAGAACGTAAATTCTAATGTTACTATATATTTTACTTACATTTGTTTTCATTTTTTATTTACAAATTATTATTTATTATTATCCTATTCAATAATTAACCTTTATTATTTATTATTTCCTAATTACTTATAATAATTATTTTTCTTAATTTTGTATATATATATATATATACATTCACACATTCACGATTTCACACATTTATCAATACTCGATATTTCTGTATTAAAGAATAATATGGATATATTTAACAGTTGTTTCGTTTTAATGAAAATAACATTGATTATTTAATTACTCTCACTATATTACTTTTGTCTATTTTTTATTTTTATCTATTATAATATTAAATCTTGCAAGTATGTATTGAACGTCCGTCGGCAATTGGATTAAAATTTTCTTAAATAATTGTGTTAGTTACAAGAATAAGAAATAAGAAGAAGAGAAACATAAGGGGTTATCATAGACAATTTAATCAGAAAACTATTAGATTTATTATTATGTACAACAGATTTTAATGTCAAACATTCTTTGCTTCAAGTCGATCGTTAAAGAATATGTCTATCTTCGAGAAATAAAACTAAGCATAACTTTGTTATAAATTAAAAATATTATATTTTGAGAAAATTAATTTTTAATGAGTACGATATGCAAAATCATTTAAGCTATCCCATCATTGTCGATTTTGGTTCTTGTCTACAATGTTTATATTTGATATATTTATAATATTTCTTAAATATTTTATCTACGGTTACATTTTATTATTAATCTAACACTTTTATCAATTTAAAGCATTACAAATACTTAAAACTCAATTATTGGAATTCATATTGTATAATACAATATTTTCAAAGGACAGTATTTATTTATCAATTAAATACCTTCATGATTTAATAACCTCTCGATTATTCTTTCTCGATTCTGTACTTTATTTTCATAAAATTCTAAGTATTTAATATTATTATTCTTTTTATTTATCCAATTTCTTTTTATAAATGTAAAGTTTTACTAAATTATTATTTATATCTAAAAATGTAAATTAAATTAATATTTAATTTTTTCCGTTTTTAATTGTACTTTTGGCTACTTTATTAGTTATACATTTATCAATTTTCACAACTTATTAATTATTTATACAATAAATTTCTGTTAATTTTCAATTCAATATAAGTTAATATATTTAATTTTCTTTTAATATTAAATAATAATTTTATTTATTCAACATTTATGTTTGATTTTGTAAATTGTATATAGTTTTACTCTTCTTAATTATAGTAGGTTCTTTAGAGAACAATGACAAAACAGATAATGATTAATCATTTTTACGAATATGTAGTATTTTTATTAAATATAGTATAACAGTATTTAAAAATATTTTTCAATATTCACATATTCATTGAATTTCACTGATTCTTTAATGAACTTAAAAGGCAAATTATTAATCTTTCATGTTATTAGTATTAGTAATAAATAATCACATTTTAATTAACAAGAATATTTTGGATTTCTTATATATGTAGTATCAATAGAGCTGTTTAAATAGTTATTGTTGTTATTATTATTATTATTATTATTATTATTGTTGTTGTTGTTATTATTGTTATTGTTATTGTTATAATTTTCATTAATGTATTATTATTTAATACTTAAATTATATCAAATAAATAGTAAGCCGAATAATTAAAAAATGTATTTAATTAAACAAACAGTATTGTATCGTATTCATAATTAAAATTTTAAGTGGAAAGTTAAAAATTCATGCTATATAGCTATATTTATGATATTGAATACCTATTTGTTAAAAGAAAATTAAAGTTAAAATCAATATGAAATCAAATGTGAAACCTTGAAAAATTATAAGTAAAAAAATGATTCAATTAATATAAATAATTCGAAAGTTAACAAATCATAAAAATAATCTTTTTAAAATGAAATTCTTTATTACATGAAATATTCATGTTCCTATATTAAATAATTATTGTAAATATCATCCTTATATTTTTAATATAAAATAGAGTAAATGAGATTTATTATTTTATTTTATTTTATCATTTTACAATATGTCAATTATATAATTATTAATGTATAATGATTTATTATTAAATAATAGAAAATATTAAATACGATACAAGAATTAAATATTTTAGAATTATTAACCATGGAATAATGTTTAACATAAAAAAATATCAATTATGATTTTTGGTACTATTCGTAAATTAATTATAGTTAATAATGCAATATAACTTGTTATTATAACAAAATATATTTTTGATTTGAAGTAATGATAAAATAATAAATGTCTTTATAATAAAATAAATAAGTATCTTTAAAAATATTGACAAAATTAAGAATTTCTTCGGTATTTAATCAATTTTTTAAAGGCATATAATTGAAATATTTTTAATATTTGAGTATATTTATAAATATTTTTATACCATCTTTATACTTTTTCTATTATATTATTTTCCGTATTCTTAGAAAATTATTTCTTATGATTTTTATTATAATATGAATTGCCGAAATGTTATAAAATACAGACAATAATATAAAAATTATTTATAAACAATGATGAATAAATAAAAAAACTAGAATTATATTAACTTCATAATAAATTTAAAAAATCATATTTATATTAATACATTTATATAATATTAAATAAAATTCTTTTACATAAGTAGTTATTCCTACAAATTTAGTATAAGTAAACTTTAGAAAATATAAAACAATGTAAAAGATATGATTAACTATTATTTTTATTTCAAGAAGCCCCTCCAATAATATTTTTATAATATGTCTATAGTTTCTAAATTTCGAATTGAAATAGGCGAAAGTATAATTAATTTTGTGCAATTATATATATGTATTTATTTTTCCTTTATCTACACTTTAAATTAATCGTTATTGATTCAATTATTAACTTATTTTTGTTAATATTTATTTATGTTCATATACTATATTATATTAAAAATATTATATTTTTAATTTGAAATATATTTGGTTTAATTAGAGTGTATTATATTAACAAATCATTACGTATGAATACAAACAATTCGCACTAATATTTAGTAAATTAGTAAAGTTATACAAAATTCAAGTTCTTAACACTTAAAAGATCATACCTGTAAGATCAGTAGATAATCTAGGATAAAGCATTCCACTTCGAGCCAACCATTCTAACTGCAACGAATGGATATGATGTTGATGAGGCGTTTCTGATATCAGATGTCCAATTGAATGTCCTTTTTGAATAGTGTGAAAAGCACTTCCACTGTTAGAATGATAGTATACGCTTCCAGGATAAACTAACGAATTTCCTGAATTAAATACAAAATTTTGATTTCGCCGTAAATTGTTTACACCTAATTCATAATATCTAGACACTATATTTTTTTTATCATCGAACACTATTCCTGTGTTTTCTTCAGATCCTGGTGATATCGGCGGACTATTTGTTAAACTTCTACTTGCATTACTATCTGGGCTTGCGCTAATAGTTCTGCTTGAATCAATTTCTGTACTAATATCAATGGTTTTATTATTAAATTGCAGTGAAGTTTGTAAACAAGGAGAAAAATTTTGTACAAATTCTTGTTTACTAAAATCTTTACTTTCGAAACTATTTGATATTTCAAACTTCGAAATAGAGTGACTCTGTTCTCGAAAATAAGACAAAACATTTTCAGGATTATCCATTTTTGATGTATAGTTGTTTAAAATTTCTACTGTTTTAGTTTCTTTACACGAGTTGGTATTGTCAAGATTCAAATTTTTTTTTTTAATATTGATTAAAAGATTCAATTTTTTATTAAATTTATAATTCTCTGGATCTTTTTGATTGGAGGCTTTACTCAATAAAGCATCGATATAAAAAGATGTTTTACCAATATATGTAGGAGATTGATTTTCAGGATTATATTGAGAATCTTTTTTTTTTTCCGAATTATTCAAATCATTTTCGACACAATATAATGATTGAGTTTTTGAAAAATTGTCTTTATTATTAATAACTAATTCTGTAGAAAATTTTTTACTTTCACAATTTTTATCTTCTGAAAAATTCAATAACTGTGGTTCCTGGCTATTTGAATTCAACACTTTAATCTTTTCACAAATCTCTTGAATAGGCGAATTCTCAATTTTTTCATTATTCAAAGTATGTAAACCTTCTGTAAATGACGATACATGTTTTTGGAGATTGTAAATCTGCATCGAATGTTGGTTCAAATTTTGAGATACGGTTTGAATATTATAATTCATTATAAATTTATTTATTTATATTACTCTCTTATACAAGAAGCAAAAATAAAAGAATCAAACAGATGTACTGTGTTTAATAATTTTTAAGACATTGATAAAAGATATTAAATGTATGGAATATTTAAAACACTAATAATCTATCTATTCTGTATACAATAGATTTAATATTGTTAACAGAAAGCAAACGATTGCTTTAAAACCACGTAACAGAATGAAACTGGTTCTGTACATTTTGAAATCTACAGCAAGGAAAGCATAGCGATTGCTCCGCCCATATTCTCTCTCTTATGTTATATATTGTTCACCTTCTGTTTCATTTTGAAGTTTCTGTACGATTCCCTAGATGCAAGTCTATCGTTTTACCCTTTCCAATATTTTGACTTCAATGCCACGCCCCTATAACATATATTGCTATTGCACTCATCAACCAACCAGATTGTTGCTGTCCGTTGATTGGAAAGAGACACCCTATGGCCAATAGCTTTGTTTTCATACTAAAAGTGGGGAGTGCCTTTCCCCTCAACTGAGTTCCAGCCCACTTATATAATTTGTAACAGCCAATCACAGTATTTCTCACGCATTCGACATATAGGAAAGCTTCTCATAGATCTCAGCGTTAGTCTTTACATTTATGATAGTATACTCTTCGAAAGAATAAGATTTATTTACTTTATCATCTTTAAGATTGATACCTTCCATAACAATTAATCGAGCTATGTATCACTGCATTTCTAATAATGATTAAACCTATTATTTTATTATGTGCTTAAATAGCTAATCTTTAAAAATAATTAATTAATAAAGTATTTATTGATTAATTATACGTTCTTTACATAATTTTATATTATTTTAACATTTAGAGTATTAATAAAATAAAATTCATTTTTTTACACTAACTGCTCCTTTAAAAATGAATTTTATAGATAATAATTTATTATTTATTAAATACCATTACTTTATTTTGCATTACAAATATCTTGTATAGTAAAATGAATGATTTTTTAATAAAAAAATAAAGGGATATCATGATTTTAACATCATCACAAACTTCAAATACTTTTCTTTAATCTGCATGTTGTTTGTGTTACTTTCAAAATTATTAAACAAAAGTTTAAATTAATTGAAAAACGATATAAAAATATAAAATAATATATAAAAGTACATGATCACTGTTTTTATACATAATTTAATTATTTTACTTTTTATATATATTTTTTATTTTCATTCTATTATACTTATGTATATTTTATAAATGAAAATACTTGGAAACAAATTTATATTTCACTTTTTATATTCCCATAAATAACAAATAATGTTGTAATTTATATATTTTTTGTAATATTTTATTCAAACAAAATAAATATAGCTAAGTGTTCTTAAAAGAACTAATATTTGATAAATCTAATTGTATTTAAGCTTTTCGTAATTTATAAATAATTGTAAATGTAGTAATTATAATTGATGTATTACAATATTAGGAATATAATGTATAAAATGTAAAGTTTTTGCATATACAAAATAAAATCTACTGTTTAAATTTTACAAAACATAAAACATTTGAGCAATTTATTTTGGATGATTTCCTAATGTTTAATACTCATAATTTTAAAGAAGACTCGTTAATTTTTAAATTAAATCAATAAAGTATATCATTAAATATTTACAATGATACTTTATTTAATAATTATTTAACCAAATATTAAGATCAGCTTATTTTCATAGTTAGTTAAATAAGATTAAATTTCTGTTTTCATTAAAATGTAAAATCTTGTTAAATAAAAATATTGTTCTTCTAAATATTAGTTCAAAAAAATGTAAAAATAGATTAAAAAATTGAATTTTTTAAAATGAAGTAATTTTCATTTATAATGATTAAAATGTATTTTATCTTTAATATTTTATCTAATAATATTATCTATATTATAATCTAATAATTTTATCTAATAATAGTATTTTTCACAAAATCTAAAATGAGAGATTGAAAAAAAATTTTTTCAGTAGAATAATTACAATTTTATATTATTTATCTAGATTATGATAATAGTATTATATAAAATATTTATAAATATTCTATAAAATTTTAATATATTAATTAAAATTATTATATTATTACATTAATAACATTATAAAGTATTTTTCAAATAATTTTCTAAGAATACAATGTTAACAAATGCTAAGAAATATTATTTATATAATAAATTCTAAAAATAGAAAATAGTAAATTTTATGAAAATTCAAAAAACATTTGTGTAGACAATGATTTCAAATAAAATGAATTTCTAATGTATTTGATCATACTATGCTTAACAACAATTGAAAATAGTAGATAAACAATTTTTTATATGGTAAATATAAATGTGAATATAAATATATTAATAATTCTTTAATTTAAAAAAATAAAAAAATTCATTTTACTAATATTTCTGATTCTGCTAATAAAATTAACAAAAACTGAAGACTCGCTTAATTTTATTAATGTGTAGAATTGTCAAAAATATAAAAATATATGAATATTATTTCAAAATTGTCAAGAATATTTATATTTTTTAACCATTCTATCTTACTTTTTGGATTGTACAATCTTGTCTCTTATATATTCATGTAGACATTTTTTTTTGTTTTTTAATCAAATACAGCTAAAAATTATATATAAAAATTGTAATAATACATTATTGACAAGATTTAATTTTATTAAAAAATTGGTTGGGTTTGATAAATAATAAATATTATAGCATTCCTTATTAATATTATGCAAGTCTCTTTTCTTCTTAGTGTTATTAGAAAATTTTTATAAATGTCATTCAGTCTGTAATGTATATCAATAATTCGTGAAATATTGAAGGGAATTGGTGAAATCTTTATAAAGATGAAGCAATATCAATTTCTTATAGTAATTAAACATTTTTTGTTAAAAAATCAAAATTATACAATCATTCATTTAAATTCTTTCATTTAAAATATTAATTTTATTAATAGCACCATCGAAGAATATTCAAAAGATATATATTTAGTCTCTAAAAAAATTGCATCTTTCAAAGAGCTAAAAAGTCCGTCGGATGTTCGATCGTGGGTTTCATATAACCCAGTTAATGGTAACATACTTGCCTTATTTTGTTTTGTTCTTTATTATTTTTTTATTACACATTCTAGTGTTTTGTGATACATTTTTAACATATAATAATAATTATCCATAAATGGAATGTTTTATATTTCGAAATTTATAAAAATATAAATACATTACTGGAATACAAACTAAATACATATTACTGGATTTAAAATTTTAAGTAAAATTAGAATTGATAAAATATTTAGTAGACAAACTCAAAATTGTCTACTGGCATTCATTATTTATTACAAACAGTATACAATATTTATGCTCTATCATTATAATTCGATTTGTATACACCCGAAATTTTGTACCAGTAATAATTATATGGAATATATATATATATATATGTTTCCGTATGTTATTTTTCTAATTTGATCTCTGATTTGAATCCAATTTACATTATATTTCTAATTCACATTTATTGTTAACCAGATAAATAAAATATTTATAAAATATTAATTAAAAAAAAACAAAAATATTAAAAATTTTTTTCAAATAAGATATATAAGTATATAAATTATATCATACGTATTGAAAGTCATGTATTAAATTTTTATTATTTTAATAATATAATATGTATGTAACCGTTTTTACATATGCTCTATATAATTAATGTTTTCGAATCTCAAGATCCTTTATTTAAAAGATGAAAATTTAAATAACATCGACATTAATTTTTATTTTTTATTTTGAATTATTAAATTAAAAATAAAAAATAAATTCAATTATAAATAAGAAATTATGAGTTTGGCCAACTTTTTTGACGGGCTTAAAAGATTTGATGTTAAATTTTATAAAGAAATATTTTATAATAATAAAAATGGACATAAAGAACAGTAAAAAGTAAAGGTAAAAAAATTTAGGAGACAACATACATTACACAAAACAAGTGATAGAGTTTAGATGATGTTTTGTTTGTGCGTAGGGAGAGAATAAAATTCAGTGAGCAGAACCTAACAGCTAAGCTGGGAGCGTGCATTAGTAAGAAATTATTCTCAGTTAAATGTGGAGGAAAGCGTACTTATACATAACTATGCTATGTTAAAAATAATATACTAAAATTATCAGCGTTCACCTCTGTACATTTTAACATACATACATTATATATAATTGATAATATACTATATTATTCTATAAAAAATATTATTCGGTAATTATTTAGTATTCTTAATTTTTAATGATTTACACTATATAATTAATCTGTATTAATTTTCATGTAATATTATTTTTCGTTTAATTAATAATTTAATATATTAAAACTTATATATGTATGGTTGACTACTAGTTTGCAAGTAAAAACGTAATATGTGGACAGGAAGCACGAATTTGATATTTTACATATAAAATAAATGAACTGTGAACAGATGTGCAATACCAAGAAATTACTCTATTTTTTTTTTAGATTAGTTAAAATTAACTATAAGATTCCTATTGATTTTATCGATGAAATTTTATTGTTTAATGTACAGCTTTCCGTTTAAAATATAAACTATAAAACTGATACTATATATATTTATATTGAGATAAATAAATTTTCATAATGATTTAACTGAATAATCTATTTTTATTTTTGTTTAAAAATAGATTGAGAATTATTTGAAATCCTTTATTGATATATGCAATATTTGGAACAAACTCTTCAATAAAAGTAAAGGATTATTCCGAAAAGAATTGAGATCTGTTAGTTTTTTATTTTACGAAAAAATATAAAGAAAAAAAATCGAACGATAAGAGCAGATATACTAATTAGAGGATGTGTATAATATTAATGAATTAAGATCAATGCGTACCTCAGCAGTTGCTGAAAATATATAATTAAACTGTGTAAATATAATTTTGAGGGCACGTAAATAATAGTTTGTTTTTCTTAACTTTCTCTCTCTCCTCTCTCTTCTATTTCTACTATATTTACTTTTATTTTATTATCATCCAATCAATAAATTTTCCCCACTTGTGTCACTAAGAATAAAATAGTGAGTTTTCACTTTTTCTAAAAATATATAAACATCTTGTAGCGGTAGATAAAAAGAAAAGTAAATTTTATAGTAAATGAAACTTTCGGTGTTTTATATATTAAAATAGTGATATACACATAGTACTAGTTAGGATTTAATAATGATAAGCAGACCCATTTAAAGTATAATGTATTTATTATGTACAAGAAATATTTTACAATAAAAAGAATATAAAAGTTATATTTTTATCCTTAAATTCTACAAATTACTTCGATTTTTTTTTAATTTTATAATTTAAATTCTAGTATACTTAATAGTAATATAATGGTTTTATTTTGCATTGATGAATATTAGATTTTCAATTAATTTTATTTTTTACTTGAAAACTTCTTTATTTATTAATGTTTTAATGGTACATGAAAATTTATTCTTGTTTATATACTCACTATTAAAATTTTGTTACTACATTTGTTTTAAATAAAGTATAAAATAGAATTAATTATGTAAATTATATCAATATCTTTTTAACTTAGTTAACTGTATAAATAATAGTAAAGTAAGAACTCAATGTTAAAAATTCAATTTTATAACAATAATTTATAAAAGCACTTAAGTATATATTTTAGTTTTTTAAGGATTTATTTAAGTATATAAATTCCGATAACTTGATAAAATTATATGCTTAATAATAAAAATTCAATGAACAATCATTTTGCTAAATAATTTTTTATTATAAAAGTTTTATATTGTTTGTCAACTATTATATTATATTACGATCTTAATAAAATGATAAAATAAAATAATGAAAACATATGTAATCATCCCAGTGTGATACTGTATAAAAAAATTCATTATACAATTATTAAATATTAAGCAAAAATTTTATTAAAATTACTTGTTAGAATTTCATAAAGAGAAATAGCTATAGAATTAAAAAAATATTCTTTGTAAAACCTTCTAATTCAAAATATACTTTGTATGTTGAATAACTTATCTATCTATTAAATATGATATCTATGATATCAACCAACAAATACTTGTTATCTTAGATTCATCTTATAATATCTTATATGTATCATTCAAATGGATTGTTTTTCAATTGTTCAGTTATAAATTCTGATTGTTTTAATAAGACGCGAGACATTTATAGTTTATTTGAATACATTTTCACTTAGTAAATCAGATAGTCAGATATAGGCTAGCAAAATTTGCTTCCTCTAAGAAATTTTGTATGATTTCTTATCATTAAGAAATACAACAAGGTTGGTATATAACTAGTTTTTTATTTATAATTTTGTATATTACGCATTCTAACATTTGTTATAATTATATTTTTTCGAAAATAATGCTTGTACTGAGAAGTTAGATCACTTTATAATTTTTGTTTTAATTTGGTTATCGTACTTTAATTTTGTGTATTATTAGGTATATTATCAATAGTGCATTGGCTGTTAAATTTTTCAATGTACGTCTTATTTATTAAATTTACAAATATAAAATAGTAATACGTATCAAATCATGTATGAAAGTAAAACAGATTGAATTACGTTCTAATTTTCCATATTTCATTCAAGAAAAAGTAGTTCGATTAATTAAATCTATTTTTTCCATAATTCATTATTAGTTTCTAAAAATTTATTAAAATTTGATATTTTTATAATTCATTGTTACAATCTTCTTAATGTTTTCATCTACATTTATATATTTACTTATTTTTGCTTTTCATATCAAATTAATATTTCGAGTTATTTTCAAATGTGTACTTTTTTTCTAAATACAATTTCAATTTTATTATTTTTATTAAATTTTTCTTTTCATTAAAAAATATGTAAATTTCAGTAGTCCTGTGATTACTTATTTTACATCATTTTGTTCGGTTTATGCAAATTATTTTCTGTACTATAGAAGATATTTGGAAATATTCTCTTGAAACAATTGAGAAAATAGTATCTTTAATATATTTTTTGTTGATTTTGCTATTCTATTATACTAATTTTTTTAAATCTTTGTCAATAAATATATTTTGAAATTAAAGAATTAAAAAGCATTTTGCTGACTTAAATATATAGCACTCATTGGATAATAGTTTTGCTATGTTTATTTATTTATAGCTTATTTATATCTACGTCTGTATTTAACATGTATTAAAAAAAATCATTCTTGGATTTGGAAATATAACCAGAGATAGCTGAAGAAACCGCATTACTTTTACACATAGTATAACATTGTATCAATATTCTATTTTTTATAAATTTTGTATATATATACACGTGTCTCTCTCTGTGTGTGTGTGTGTGCATGTGTGTGTGTGCATATTCTAATAATAATTTAAATATGTTTTATTAATAATATTTAACTTAGTCACAATTATAAAAATATGATTGAAAATACATAAAAAATATATAAATGTCATAAATGCCATGTAAAATAAATCAATGGAGTAGAGTAAAAAAGAAATTTTTAAAATTAAGGTTGTCTATTTTTACAACGGTCATGTTTATTTTAATAAATTTCCATAATATGCAGTTATTGCAACTAATTTATTATTAATAAAATTTTGTTCAACTTCTATTTTTGATCCTGGACCCCCAGCTGTAACTAACTGAAAAATAGAATTTTTAAATTTGTATTTTCTTTATATTATTAAAAAATCATATGCAGATAATCTGAAAAGTCTATATAAATTGAAAGAAATACAATTTTTTAAAGTTTTTTAAAAATATTTCTATTAAATTTCATATTATAAAATATTTTATTCTTTTACTAATGAATCAACAGTATTTAAATTATTCAGAATTTATAAAAACGTAATCTTATTACTATATTTATATGGTCATGTATGCACTTTTTTATTTATTAATAGAAATAAATACTTGTTAAAAGATTTATTTACTATCATTGGTTTTTATTATTTATTATTTGTATGAAAAAATACCATTTACTTTAATAAATGTGATCGTTTTCTTGCTTGTAAGAAAGATATACAGTCTTATTTTGATTTACAAAACAAGCCAGATTGCACTAAAATATTTCTAAATATCGTATCAATTTAATTTATTCACATTTTTTATTGATTGTAAAAAAAACTGAAAACTTTATCTTATTGAAAACTTCATCATTTAACTATTTTGATTTTCATATTATAAACGTGACAAAATATGTTTTCTATTTCAAACTTCTATGTAGCATTTGAATAAATTACAAGTTTTTATAAATTGAAATATAAATTGTAATTCTTTTATTCTTTGAAACAATCCATAATTTATTGATTTTAAATAAAAGTAATATTGATTATGTAACTAAATAAAAAAAAAACCTTATTAATGATATCGAAGAATTATAATAACATAAATTAGAAATAGCATTTCTGATATTTTCCATTGACTTTTCAGATTACCTTTAAAAAATTAATTGGTACTATACCTCCAAAATATTTATATTTTTTGGTAAATAGAATGCAATATTATTAGAAATAATCTTCGATATTTCAAGTAATTTTAATCCTCCTATTGGGCTCATAATATTTCTAATGTCATAAACATTATTGTTAATATAAGATGGTCCTCCCCACGGAGGGCTCAAAAATACTACATCACCAATTAATTTGTCAACCAAACAAAAATAATCTCCCAAAATATATTCTATTTTATCATTGACGTTGTAAATTTGGGCATTATGTTTAGTCATTGCAATTTTTTGAGGATCAATATCTATAGCATAAACTGTAAAAGAAAAATATTTAATTTAATGACCACAACCTTTTTAAGAGTACAATTTTATTTCTCTCTCTCTCTCTCTCTCTCTCTCTCTCCATAAAGCAATATTTTACAATACTTTAATATATATAAGTTTAAAATTTATTATAAAAAATTAATATATTATCAACCTAACGTACATCACGAATTTGAGTTTAATAGCTGTAATCATAAAACGATTGATAAAAAAACTAGTACTATAATTTTTTTTACTTATATTTTATGTCTTTATATAATGATTATCAAATTCAGTTATCGCATACTTTGAAACATACTAAATTTAAAAATAAGTTATACTACTATATTTTCAAAAATTCAATTTTGTATAAATTCATGTATAAAGTTAAATTATTGCGTCATGTTTTTTATAAAAGTATTATTATAAGATTTAGAATGGGATGTATTTCGTATTAATTTCAGTAAATCAATATAAAATTTTTCAGAAAGTATACTATAAGATATATCCCTCCATAAAATATTGAAGGATGGAGTTGAATAAAATGAATAAAACTAAATTAGCTGAGATATATTAGATATTATACACGATCGTTGCATCAAATTTTATGAAAAAGTAATAAATAAGAAAAATAAAAGACTGCATTGGTCTTTACTGTAGTTGCAAAATGCTTGTTGTACTGTAATATTATTAATTAAAAAATTTATTTACTTTTAAACAATTAACAACATAATTATTCTAATGAGATTATTCGTAGAAACTATTATTTAATTTTTATTATAAATTTGAAAAGTTCATATAGTTTTTAATTGTCATTAGAATTATTTAAAGAACTTTGTATTGATTACAAATAATAATGTGCATAACTTATTTATTTATTATTAAGTATGACAAATTTAAAAACTTTAATAAGCTTATAATAGAAAAAAAGGCTTGAAAAAGGTATTATCGATCTTGACTATTTCTATTTTGTTTTCTTTTGATAGATTTCAAACTTTTTTTAAACAAACTGTCTCTTTTGTACAGTTCCATTGTTCATTATTATTTTATATTTTGGTAATGCAAATTGGTATTTATTAAGAATTTTGCCTTTAAGATTTATATATACATTTTAAGAGATTTACTAAGTTGTTGATAACTATTAAGAAAATGGTACAAAAAATAAATTAACTATAAGAATGTTATTAAACGATGCAAAATATGATAAAATTTAGTGGATCACAATAATACTTACAAAAAAGTCAGTAGCTTTAGAAGATTATATAAGATATTTTCAAGTAGAAAAATACATAAGTTCTTTAACAACGATGATGATAATCAAGGATTTATAAAGAGTGGCTATAATTTGGCAATTTCAAAAAAATTTCATTCAATTAATACAGTACATATTATTTTATTAGATAATCTTTTTTTAATTATTTAGTAATTATATATTTTCTTGTAGATAGATACTTTTGAATTACTAATATAAAAGATTTTAAGCAGAAAATGCATTATCAAAGTACATAATGAATGGATAGATATCTCAATAAAAATATAAATTACTATCAATAAGTCTAATTTAATTTTTTTTTGTTAATAAAATGCAATGCTTTTGCTATTACTTTACTGAACCATTTTTTTCGCTATTTGCTGAAATTTACTTAATTATTGATATTTTGTCGAAATCTCTATTATTAGATAATAATTTATAATAAATAAGTATATTATTTCATTTAAAATCAGAAACACCGTAGAAAAATGAAGTTGATATTATTTTATAATTTATTCTACTATATGCAAAATAATGTAATTAAACATGTTAAACGTAAATGAAAATTATAAAAATTTTTTTTGTAATGGTTGTATATTTTAATATTACTTTTAGCATAATTAATTAATATATTAAATATATTATACGTAATTAAATCATAATAATTCAACGTTTCATTTAAATTAAAATTTACCTATTTGACAAGTAGATGTAAAATGGATCGAGTTACCACCAGCTCCACTGAAAGCATCAATTAATATATCACATCTACATCTCTTAGCTATATGTTTTGCTATTTTTTCTGGTGTAACGGAAAACCAACTTTCTGTAAATTATAAATACAATTTTTTTAATTTTTAATCATAACTTATTGGAATTTATATTGTAAAAGATATATATCTACATATTTTAATTAAAATTATATTCTTAACATTCCTTGCTTTGATGGGATTTAATAGTAAATGTTAAATTTTTGTTTTTCTTTATTTTTCAATTAATTACTTGTGCATTAATTTAAATATAACTAAGAATTTAGATAAAATTAATTGATTATAGATTATTTATAAAATCATTCCTATACCTTTATCTAAAAATTTTCTATTATTTCTTATAATCGATCCCAATATGCCAAAATTTAAATATAATATCTTGTTAACCCTTGAAGGAGTTTGTTAATTTCTTTAATTTAAATAAATATTATTAATATTTAATAAATGACAAATCATTTTAAAGCAGTTAATTTTGGTTGTGATAGTATGCGAAACATTCTTCTTAAGAACTTAATTAATAAAAAAAAATGCATACTATTCGAATGTACGTCTGTAATACTCTATAATAAAGTATAAGTTTATCACAATAAAGTTAATACGAATATATAGATTATATTATTTTCATCAAGATTAATTATTCGCAAAAATATGCATTTTTCTACTATCTTTCTATTATCTATCTATAATCTTAGATTCGTTTAACCTTTAACTTAATAATAATGTTTTTTATTTTACTAATATCACAGCTTTATCAGTTAAATGAATTTTTTTTTTAATTTTTTATATTTTGTACTAACTTATTTTATTATTAGTTTTCTGAAATTTGTAATTAATAAAAAGATTTCAAATATTTACTAAGTTATTTTGATAAAATATATAGAGAATAAAGAATTATTTAAATAAAATTGTTTTAGATGGATGTGTATAAGCTTAACACTATCGTGGTATACTTTTTAAAATCGTTTTCGTGATTAAAATATTGTGCTCAGTTCGTATTTTTCATTCTATGACCTTTGACTATTTTTTGATTATTTTTGATATATTTTTTCATATTTAAATTTTATGCTAATTGAATGTTTGGATTATGACTATTATTAACAGCACTATATTTTATTATATTCATTTTTGTATTTATTATTATTATATATATAACTTGAGTATTCTTTTTTTAATATTTCCAACTACTATCCATTATTCATTAGTACTTCATCGACGTGAATGAATAGTTATTCAGTATTCGAAATTCATTATTCCTGATTTTTATAATTATTCTTGCAATACCATCTATTAGATTCTTGTTTGATTGAATTGCTATAATGTGTTACTTTTTTTCTATTATTTTGTTACTTAAATACATATTGGTATTATATTACTAATTGTATTCATTTGTCTCTTACATCCAATTTATTTTGTATATCTTTAGTATAACTTAATCATTCAATGAATTTTACCATTTTATTCAAATTATGTATGTTGAGATATATATTATATTCTGTTGTATATTAACTATTTACACGTGTGGTTGCGTTTAAACTTTATTTTTAAATTATTTTTACATTACATCTACCGATAGTGTTAAAACATTTTTATTAAATGTCGTTCTAAGTCTATCACTATCACTTATCATCACGAATATCTATACTTTTAATTTCATTTTTAGAAAAAGTTTATATCTTAAAATATATTAATATGCTATTTTTTTCTTAGTATATTTTGTATTATTTTTTTTTCTAATTTCCCTAATTTCTGAATTTTACAGCAAAAGAATCATCGTTAAAACAGATAACAAAAAATTATTTAGTACATTTAATTATAAACAAATAAAACTTTGAATTAAAACAGACAACATGGATGATTCCATCTTACATTGTGTAGGTCCATTTCCATAAATACATAAATATATATATATATGTATTTATATATTTGTATTACGTATTACTCATATACCCACAAGTACTTATACATATCCATACTCAGATCTTATAGTAATATAGTATCATAATAGTAGTATATTCGTAATTATGAATTTAAAAAGTTTTTATTTATGTTAGTACTTAATGATTTGTATTTCAGAATATATTACAAATAATCACTTACCATAATCCAATTGTATTCCATCATCGAACTTACTGAAAAGCTGATATCGTTTCAACCAATATTTTTTAAACACTGAATTATGTTGTAAATCAACTGCCGAATTACTGTTAAATTGAAGCAACTCCTTATGCTTATAATTTTCTTTATCGTTATAATATAAATCTGTTTGAATATTTGAATATTTAACTTCCTTACATTTTAATTTTATATGCTTACGATTATCTTTATCTATAGCTGAGTTAGAATTATATATACAGTTATTAGAAGTATTACAAGTTGTTTTAATTTCATTTTTACTATTTTTAATTGTTTTGTCCTGTAAAATTAATTTTTATTCATGTCATAGATATATAAGATACTACTTAGAAATAAAACTTTTAATAAAAACATTATCAAAATACAATAAAATTGTATAAAACATTTGTATATGTAAAATTTTACTGAAAACAATGAAATATGAATATGAACTAGGTTTAGGAAGAAAAAAATTTATATTGATTTTAAAATACACAATGAAAACACGGAAGGAACTAACTCCTTAGGAGTTCCAAATTCATATTTGCATAACTTTATAATAGAATTAGTATGTTTTACGACAAAATCGTGCTCTATATATAGCAATGATTAAAACGTTCTCAATATCCAACTTTTCATGATTCGGATGTCCTAGTAGATTTAGGTGCACTATTTAAAACTATTTAAATTTAAAATTTACTATTCAAAGACAATGTACACTATTCATGGTATTTTAACATTCCAATATATATATATATATATATATATATATATACTAGAAATAATCATGATTACTTATTTCTATATCGCGTGGTGCACTCATTTTATATAATATTTACATTAAGTTGATATTAGAGCGAGCTTTTCTTGAAAGACTATTTCTTCATATCGGTTGATTTATTTTTTAAGGATTATTTATTACAGACAGTGTTATATAATATATATATAATCCTGACTGGAATCAGACTAAAAAACCTCCTTTTGATGGTGGGTAGAGGTGTTTGTGGCAAGTGGAAGGGGCAATGTAATTATTCACTACTATTTGTAGTATTCCTTGTCTTTCATTTTATTAAATATAGTATATATAACAATTAGTTAATGGTCATAAGTGTATGAACGGATGGCGTGGGTGAATTTGGTGGTGAAATTTCTTCAATTGTTTTACGTGATGGTGAGAGTGTGTGTACTCTCGGTAGAGTAAGGTGCGATCTCTTCCCTTTACAAACGAAACGCTGTAGTAGTAGACGCGCACTCGAGGGGCGAGTGAGACGATACTACCTTAGCCGCCGGTGTAGCGTAAGCGCCGCTGCTGTCTGTGCGGTAGGGAGGACGTCCGTGTTGCATCGCTGCTTACGCGGGCGTGAAGTCCGCCCGTATAGGTGTGGTGTATGTAGCGGTAGTGTGCTTTACTTACGTGGGCGCTGAGCCGCCGCCATAGTTGTGGTTGTAAGGAACGGTTGTCTGCGTTGCTTACGTGGGCATTGGGCCGCCGGTATAGTTGTGGCGTCACTATTGGTTCCCTGAATGGCTTGATGTACGTGAGTAGTTGCAGTAAATAATGCCTGTAGTGGTACCGCTTGCAGGTAGAATAGTGAACCCGTCGTGGAGACTGTATGATTAGTATTTGCACTACAAGGAAGATGTGCGTCAAACACTGCTTTTAAATATTCTCGTACGAGCTTGCGACGCCGGCAGCGCATCGGTGTCTGTTGCTATGCCGATCATTGTTGTGACGTCAGTAGGATATAGCCTTGGAAGGTTCATCGGCATTACTATTCGGAATTATAATTTAATATTCGAGTATTCAGCGTAGTGAAATTTCCCGAATTCGCTGAATTGTGTTTACATCGTAAATGTCTGGGAGCTTATACCTCTCCTACTTTTGTATTTCGCCTTTAACTGCTTCAATCCGTAAAAGTCCATAATTATAAAATTTAATATATATATGAGACTTTATAATGGCCAATCTTTTTGAATATGTAATATACAGCTGTCAAATATCCTTACATGAGGTTAAATATTCAAAGTATAAAAATGATAATATTTTCATGGACGTTTACACAAATTTTCTCAAGTTTTTTCTGTTACTTATGCCATTTCTGGATTGATATCAGCTTATAACAATCACGTGAAAGACTGTGTTTTGTATTTATCTATAAAAATATTTTACAACTCACTGACGTAAAATTTAATGGCTTTGTGGAGACAAGCGAACAGTATATAACTACTTGAAGCAAAAGTAGGATATTGTTCTAAAATTCTGTAGACATATATTCGAAGTCAGTTCTATTATGGATAACTCATGATATTAAACATTTTTAAACTATTACCTTCCCTACTAAAATATTTCTTTTCACTTAATTCTACACTGAGATACAGAAAGATATTTTATATAAATGTGATTTGCGAACGTAAGATTGAAGATCTGTGTTAAATTTTCCCAGAAATGAATTGACTTTTATATAAAAAAAAACGTACATGTATTCATTATACCTAATAAATTATTCTTATTCAAATCAACATCAATTTAAACTGCGTGAAATGGCTATTTAGTATTGTAATAGACCTAAGACTATTCAAAGAATATGAATAATAACATTTTCTAAGTCATAATAGTACCTTATGTCGCTTAGAATTCAAGCATAATATTTTATAATTTTTATATTAATCTTCAAAAAGTTTTAGTATGTCCATAGTGGCAGAAACTTATGAAAGATTAATTACTTTACAAAAATTAAAAAATAATAGTTACAAGAGACATGTTTATTTAAATTTACTTCTTTATTTAACAATTTAAAATCACCTATGAATGTTTTATAATCATTCATTCATAGGTAATACGTAATAACAACAATTAACTAACTAAACTAACAATTAACCAACTAAATCATAAGCACCCTAAGAATTTTGTTTTCAGTATATATAAAATACAAATTATTTCTATGCTGTGTATAGGTACAATATATATAACATAATTTTAAATTAATTAAAATTAACGTAGCTCTACTTTATAAAATTTCTATTTAAATAATATATACGAAAGTAATCATAAATTCAATTCATAACATATCAAACAATTTTTTTTAATATATGACCTAATCCAATTAAACATTACCTTTGTCTTCAAATTTATAACAGGTATGTATTTCAACATATCTGTCACTTTTCCTTTAAACCGACAGTCATTAATATTGTTTCCGTAAGAATAACCCATTAAAGTAAATATTTTTGATATTCGATATGAATCCATAGAATGTAGCTTTTCAGATCTATTGTAAAAATAGTATCAATTATTATTTTTTTATCTTATAATATATTAGAAAATTTTACCTGTATTCAAAGAATGGAATGGAATTTTCAATATCTTTCGCAAAATATCTAGAATCATATTCAAAATCCATTAATGTACAGAATACTTTCATATCAAAACTACAAATTTTATTTTGTAGTATACTATTTATAGATGTAAGTATAATCTTCATAATTACATCTATTTCTAATTTATATAATTTTTCTATCGTTTCGATGAGTGTAAGTGAATGTACCTGTAGATAAATATTTTTACAATTATGTAATTTTATTGGTTACAATAATCAAACCTTAGAAAAATTAATAGATTAAATATGATAGTCACTTAAATGAAATAGTATTGTATTATATAATAAATACCTTAAACAGATAATATGAAACATGTTATAATTGACATTAAATTATTTTAATTTTTACTATGATTTTCGATTTAATTATATGTCTACTTATAACTTAGAATACAATTTGAAACAGTTAAGATATTGTGTAATAGTTTAATTTAATTAGAGTTTATTTATTATATTTTTTTATAATACTTAATTAAACATTGTACAAATTATAATTAAATCAACTTTGGGATATCAAATTTCGAATATATAAATTACATAAATATATAAATATACAATTATTATATTATATAAAAATAAGTTTTTCTAAATATGAAGATTAAAGAGAAAATAATTTAAAAAAATATTTTTCATACTAATACTCATGTAGTATTAAACCTTTCAATTACTTTTATATAAATTTTCTCAAATTAACTATTTAAACTTTTTATAGATTTATAAAAATGTTATAGATTAAAAAAATAATAATACAGATAAAGTAGAGAAAATCAATGTTGATTAGTAATCTCTTATTAAGATAGTAATATCAATAGAGTAGAATATAATATTCCCAACTTTTTTGTTATAATACTTAATTAAACATTACATGCCTATAACTCTGTATTAAATAGAAATCATAATAACCTTGAAGTACAACTGAATGCAATTTCTATTTAATACTATAAGTATGACAAGCAAGCAAATATATTTAATTTTATATGTATTTATATATTTATTTAAATTTTATGAAGTTTAATAACTTTTATAACCCAGACATCTGGGGAAAGCCCAAGAGTATTAGCCATCTGGAGAAACGTGCAACGGTCGTTGGACATCTGGAAAAAGTCGTTACATCCAAAAAATAAAGTGCACAATCGTATCCATTCTTTTCAGCACTAACTAGGCTGTTATTAGGCTGTATTTAAAGGAAACACGCATCAAGACACGCTATTCAGCCATGAGCGAGTCACTCAGGAGCTATCCTCTCTCTCTTAGTGGGGATGCCATGAAATAATCGCTGTTTAAGTGAGGACAGCAAGAAAAAAACAGTCTCTCTCTTTCTCTGTCAGTGAAGCCATTACAGAAAGAATACACGTCATTCTCCAGTGCGCAATAGTTAACAAGCAGTCAACGGTGCTGACTGCATTATGTGAAAATATTCGACTACAATATGCATGGTATCGAAGCACTACTTATCACGAAGTATACCAGTAGTCTCTATTGACGACAACTATTACATAATTAAGCCAGTCCTTCCAATTGAGTATACATAACTATCATGACTCTTGCTAAACCTTACAGCATTACTAAGGGCCTCAATTACATAAATAAGCCATACTACATCCAACTAAATATTTACAATTCTTGCTAATCCGTACAATATTAGCAACATCATCATCATCAAAAGGAGCATCTCGTGTTGGTGAAATATTCACCACAAGATCAGTTCCAGGCAACTTCATCGTTGTGATAGAACATAGTATACACTCCTCCATTAATTAAATCCAATACAAAAATAGTGTAATTATAAATAAATCATAATAATACATTCAACGAAGAAGTGCACACACAGTATATTTCTACAGCTCTTCCACTTAAGTCCTTACCTAAGCATCCTCTAAGAAGAGTGGCTCATTATTATAAAGCTATAGAAACATTGGCAGCTCGAGCCAGAAAATCAAACAGTTTCGAACAGTAGTTATCCTTAATATATTAAAATATGTTTCGAATTTTACTATGATTTGTAGTTCAAATATATAATTATTATATATTAAAATTTGATTAGAAAAACCATATAAAGCTACGTTCTGAACGTAAAAAGGGAATTATTACAAAGTATTTGATACTTTTAATTGTTTTTTTTTGTTTAAAATAAAATATCTCAACAGGAAAATGTAAAATTTTAAAGTACCTTTTGCAAATTTTGAAAATTTAGTTTGTGATATTGTTTGAATTGTGTGTGACAATTATTATATTGTTGAAGATGATGACTTTGCCATAAACAGTACCACATATTGGCATGCAAAGATGCCAATGTTTGATTCGTAAAAGTATCTGAAATTCACTTATACAACAATCAATAATGAACATAATTTATTTTTAATAATCTAGAAAACTTACCAATAACAAAATTTAATTTTGATTTTTTATAACACATTTTGAATTTTGCAGATAACAAACTCGAATTAATAAATTTTCTTGATTTATCGAATTCTTTTACTATGTTAATTTCAGATTCCACTTTTTTCTGAAAAAAAAAATTTAAAAAAAAAATTATTTTTATTAAAAAAATTAAGACTAGAATAAATTTGTAAATTAATTGCACTTTTGAATTACTTGTAATTGTATCTATAAAATATGCAGTTTTAAATACATTAAATAAAACAATAATTTTATAATAAAAATAATTTTTTAAAAAGGCAGTAACATAAAAAATGTAAAATATAATAGTTATGAATAAACAATATTAAAGATGTAGGTATAAATAATGATTAACGAATTTCTTTTTCTCCATTTCAGCTTGTGTAATTTCACGGAGAATTGAACGTATACAATATTTTTATTTTATAGTACAAAAAGTAAGATAAAACAATAAAAGCAGATATTAAATACTTGATTATATTATAAATTATAAACAATAAATTAATTATGAATGAATATGAAATAATAATTGATACATAGATTATTAATAAAGGACTACTAATATGGATATTACAACCCAGTTTCAATAACATATCCAATTTCTTCATAATTACTGAAAATGAACATGTATAATTAGTATTTTAATGATTAGGCTAGCAAAATATTGAAGCAAAAATTATATAAATAATTGAAATTCGATAAAAAAATATAATTAACTTGATTAAAAGTAGTTGAATAAATCAATACAAGAAGTTTTACCTTTGAAATTTACTAATACGATGAAAAGCAAGGAGCTATGATTATATCAATTAGCAAACTTATTTATTACTACTTTTAGCATGAATAATGTGATATTTCAACACCACCTTAACTTTAACTAGTGCAGGGATACTGCTATAAAACGCTTTCAAAACAATGTAATGACATAGTATTTAAATTTACATGTAATCACAATTTTTTAAATTTTATGCCAATTTATCTTTGAACCCATCGATAATAAATGGGTTTCAGTCAAGATGAACGATATGAAATAAACTTTAGCATTAATTTAGAGAATGATGATGAATATTAAAAAATACTATTCTATTTAAACTGACCTTACATGAAAATTTTTTCGCATTTTTATACTGTTCATTCACATAAAAAAATTATTTAAATGTTGTTATTAAAATGTTAACGTTGTATAGTTATTGAATGAATTGCCAAATTAAATGTAAAGCATGAGATATCCGGAAGCTATTTCAAGACTACTTTTATAATAAAATAAATTTGAAAATATTTACAAATAAGTCTTTCCTTGTAGTACAATTTATTACTTACTGTTTTAAGTAATCACGGATTAACATATCTATTAAGTATAAGAAGTCGAAAAAGAAAATCGTAAAAGCTTGTTTAATCGTTATGTTTCTTATGTCACCCTAATATGAAACTAAAGCTATGTAAAACTCATTTTGTTTTATAAGCTGCATTCTTTTTTCTAGACAACCCTACATTTATTGAAGCAATTGGATTGTTCCATCATCTCGTAAAATTAATAAAGAAATCCTCTTCTACATGTGAAAATCTACTTGATATTCCCTCAACTAAGTTTAAAAGATACAAGGTTAATTTTTGAATCTTAATTATTATTTCTTTAAATATATTGATTAATAATATCCCTTAATATTCAATCATCGTGTGCTAGGTCATAACACATCAGCCATTTCATTAGCTAACATCAAATATTGTTTGACAAGAAAATATAACTTACTTTGTATTAAATAAATTATATTAAAAATAGGACATCTACACGAATTCAGCAGATAACATAGTTTTAAACAAAACACAAATACAGATGTTAATATATATATAACGTAATATCACATACTATTAAATCAGTAAATTAACTGCTCTTCTTTGCATTATTTAAAATTATTTCAAAATAACTACAAACTATTTCTGATCAATTTCTTCTACTGGAAGAAAAACATTGATTTTAAATGATACTAATTTTTATTTTGAATCTACATATTTATCAAAAATTCTATTTTAAATTTAAAAACTCATTAGTGATGTAGATTACATTAGACCTAATGATCTACATTAGATCTAATGATCTAATAATATATAATCTTCTGATTATTTATTATTCGATAATAATAAATACTAAATTATCTTTAAAATATTTGAAAATCATTTATATTGTAGGTATGTCTGACGAATTATGTAGGAAAATATTTAATATGAAATGTGGACTTCATATAAAAATTAATGGAATGAAAACCAACATCTTTATTTGAATAAATAATTTTAAAAAATTGTTAAATTAATAGATTAAAATATCAAATATTACCAAAATTATTAGTAAATAAAATAAATCATGTTTAGAAATTATATTATAATAATTTTATTTCAGAAAATTATATTACGTTATAAATTACGTGTCTTTTCATATATAAAGTATATCAGTTCAAGAAAAATATCTTTAATGTTAATTATTGGTTTATATATAATTAATGATATTTATTAGTTATTTGTATAATATAATATTAATAAAATTATAGCTTACCATTTGTTTTTGAACAATATTTTTAATAATATTTGAAATTCTGCTAAAATTGTATATATCATTGGTATTAATATAATCCTTATATTTTACAATCCAGCTTAAATATGTAATAGCTTCTCCATTATAAAACCAGAAATTGTTCCATCGAAATTGAATTAAAACACTGTGTATCAAGTAATCAATGATTGAAAAATAATTTAAAAGTTTATAATTTTTTAAAATATCAAACTGATATAATTGATAACTATTTCTACTTGTTAATAAATTATACTTTAATATTTTGTCATTATTATGTAAAGATTTTAAATAATAATAAATGAAATTTTTATCATTTAATATAAATGATTTAAAAGTTGTACATAAACTCGACATATTGACTAATGTGGATTTTGCTTCTAAGTAAATATTAAATTTATTAAATACATTATTATGATTCTGAATTTCTATAAATTGTGAACATTCTTTAATTAAACTAGTTTTTGAAAAAACACAATCTTTCAATGTTAAATACATTGTTACTATACAATCAAACTCGTAGATGTAAATCTTTTTTATGTATATTTCTGTGTCGTGTTTAAAAAAGGATTTAAATAAACTAGGATTCATGTTTTCCTGAAATACAAATTAGACAAATTTATAATACATAAAATTTATAGAAACATTTAAATATTTTTATATTACATGCACAAGTTCATATTGGGATACATAAACAGGAGATATTTTCTTATATATCTATAAAGTAATGAGTTCATATATACAAACAATAATATAGAGGTTTATACAATAATTCCGGTTACATTTTTTATTAATTCACCATAAATGAAAGATTATAATTGGTTTGTAGAAATATCCATATACAATGTATATGCAATAGATATGTAAAATTATAAAATTATAAACTTGACATGATATACTGACGATAATTGACATATTTGAAAATTTAAAAGTAAAATTATAAAATCATAAAATCCACTTAATTGATTTATTATCTGAAATTGGGACTTGGTAATGAAATTACCAACTATTACTCGATATATTTAAAAATTATTGTTGGTATATATATGTATTTTCTTCATTAATATATACAATACATTTTAGGAATATTAACACTGTACTTTTGTTTAAAATTGATAATTTTTATAGAAACTTTACTTTCTAAATTTTAAATAGAAATAGATTTTTATATACAATTAGACAATAGCTTGTCTTAAAAAATTAAACAAAAAAAAATTTTCCAAAGTTTTTTTTTTTTTTTTTAATGAAGTAATAAAGGACATATACCCAAAATATACGACCTTAGTATTTTATACGCAAAACATGACAAAAAATATATATAGTTATACGCAAAGAATAAGATGAAAGATATAAAATAAAAAAGAGTAGTAAGTGAAAAAATAATGACTAAAAATAAAATTCTGCTTTAAATTAGTGTTAACAAATCTTTACATTCATTTAAATGTGTAACAATATAAAATATTAGCTGCAAATTGATTGTAACAACTTCTGGCAAACTTGTACATTATTTATAACATTTTATTTATTAAATATATCTTGTCAATTGATTAATAATATTCTTAATATTAATTTAAATCAAGTTAAAATTCTATCATTGATCATTACTATTCAGGAGGACACAGTTCAAAGAAATTTATTTTTAACCTTTTTCATACATTTTATATTTTTTAAATAAAAAACACGATTTTAACATAGCAATAACTTTATCAATAATATCCAAAGTTTTTAAAATAAAAATTCTCCAAAGTGTATATTAATTTCAATTCATTATCGTAGAAAATTCTTGCATTTTAAAGTAATTTAAAAGCAATTAATTTATATTGAAAACAACGTATAATCATATTATAAATGTTTGACTATCTCTTCACAAACATATGTAATATTTTTGGACAATTGCAAATATTTTTCAAAAATTTTTATAAATATTTCATTTTTGACAGAAAAATATGAAAAATACCCAAATGCACAATTATAGACCTATAGAACTAAAAAATCCTTACAAACAAAAATTATCTATATTATTTTTTGTATTATTTTGAAATAAAAGCGACAATAAATATTTGTTGATATTACTTGTTTTTAACGAGCTAATAGATCACAATTTATTATTAAATATTATAAGAATATATAAGAAATTATTTGAATTAATAAAACAGTAAAACATTAATGAAACCGAAGAAATGTAAATGTAAAGAAAGTAATTGGATAAAAAATATTTCACGTGAAGACGTTCTATAACATATTATCAACATAAATCGAATTCAAATAAGTATTTGTAAGATAAAATTTATAGCAAAACATCGACGCAATTACATATTTGTTAACATACATACATTAGCAATTATAGAATATTTAGTAATATCTAAAATATTTAATATAATACATACTAAAGTTACTTCAGAAATTTAGAACGAGATTTAAGTTTACGGAAACAGTAATACGTAAATACCAATTAAAAAAAAATTATATGATAAATCTGGCAGAGGTAATAACTTATATATCTGGTAACAATATTAAACAAGTGTAATACACGAAGTAGTAGATATTTATATAAAGTAACGATAAAAATACTTATATTTATAATATATTATTACTTATCAATATCTTGTTTGGTAATATTATAAAAAATATATTCAATATTGCTAAAGTCAATCTATTAAAAATTTTGTTGTATTTTTAAATTTCTCAAGAGCCATTTCAACCGATCAAGATTGCAACTTATTAAATAGATTTATTAAATTTAAAATTAAAAATAAATAATATATTTCGAATAATATTTTTAATTATATAAAGTTTTAAAACAATACTCTTCGAAGGATAATGAATAGGATACTAGAAAAATGTGATTCAATAAAACTATATTTGTAATATAAAGATTACAAAATTTATTCTATAAAAAATTGTCTTTGGACCCTTACTAAGTTTACAATTTCATATTTAAAATCTTTAACCCGTTATCGAAGATATATGATGAATTAATTAATTATATAAATAATTAATTATAATCATATAAACTAAATAATAATTATAAAAAAATATATAATTAATAATAATATAAACATTAATTATAAAAATAAATATAATTTTATAAATATAAAATGTAAGATAAACAAAATAACGTTATTTAATTTAAGTTTATTAAAAGAATAACTTTTTACTGTGTGCTACACTAACTTTATTATAAATTTACTATATGTTAAATTCAATATTTAAATATTTATCTATTACTTTCTTATTCGCCATTTTATATTAATCTAAATTATCGATATTTACCTGGACTATGATTGCTACTCAAAGTTCCTTAAAAAACCTTCATTTAAAACATTCAAATTTTGTGATTTCTTACACAACATAAAATTTTCTATTAAAACACACCAAAATTGTTGAATCTATCTTTTTATTTAAATGAATATGAAAGATTGTTTTACTTTTACATTATTTGTTTACTTATAATTTGATTAACCCTTGTTTTTTTCTCTTTTGAAATTCATTAAATAATAAATATTTAATTTACTCATAATTTTATTAATTTATTTATAAATTTCTAGTATATAACGAATTCATGACGTTTCACACATTTGCGGTAGTTTAAACAATCAAGGCTATTATTAATAAAAGTAATTTAATGCACTGAAAATTCGATCAATTTATACAAGCTTTTAATGGTATAACTATATAAAATGGTTTAATGTGGAGTTCGATTAATTAATGTTCCCCGCTTCAACTTCTCCCATTTCCCCAAAATATTTTTTCTGTAATGATTAAAATGAATTTAAAGCTTTATCTTCACGTATGTGTTACACAACGTATATATGAGGCAGCAATCATGAATATTTTGTATTCTAACACATTCCAATTCTATCATAATTATTTAAAAATAACTAAACATAAGGTAGTATATTTGAAAGTATAAAATGAGAATCCCATCCAATTAAGTAACAAAAGTTGTATATATTAATATACGACATAAAAATATAATAGTAAGATAAAAATATTAAATATTAAATATATATATATATATATATATATATATATATATTACCTTTAAAGCACACCATTCAAAAATATTCTGTTTATGATTACAAAGTATATTTTTATACTGACTAGTCAATTTGGTTTGGTTCATGGAATCATTTGGATCATCGTATCTATAAAAAATATTGATTATAAAACTATCTTAGATAGATTATAAAATTAATTTAACTTACTGCATAAGATATACAATTTAAATAATGAGTATAAATGCATAATTTACATATTTTTTTAAAGGTTTGAAATGCTATAAAATGTACATTTGGATTAAAATGTTTGAAAATAAACACATTATTTTTTTATGTTGTTGTTTCATATGGTATTATTTACTTCATTATATTGCACAAATTCAGCTGTTTATATTGATTGAAATTGATTTTCATAAATAAATTGTATGGCTGTAGGTCTCATTTATTATTGACATCTATTCTCTTTGAACTTGTCTCAAAGTTACATGACAATTATATATTTAAAAATTATTTCGTGTTTTTATAGAATTTCCACAAGTTAGTGTACGTCACAATTTATTTTATGAAGAATTAATATAACACGGGAGGAAAGAAGAGAGTAAAAACAAAAGTGAAAAAGAAGACAAAATGATAAAAAAGAACGAAAACTATTCATTATATATCTTTAACGTGTACCATTTTCGTAAGTGTATTCAATTTATTATACAAAATTACTATTTTTTAAATTAGCATGGAGCGAGTGATTATTAGTAGCAGCATTGTAATTGGCAATTTTCTGGTAGCCAGTAGGGAATGAAATATTTTATTAAATTATTTATTTATATGATTTTTTATATTTATATGCTTATATTTAATAATTTTTTATATAATTCTGATTTAGCTTCATTTTCAAATTTTATTTTTGGTGTCTAATTTATAAATATTTCTGTTTAGAATTAGACTATCGCCACTAGTTTACTGGTGGGAGAAGTGTGGATAAGTGGGAGGGGTACTGCTTCTATTCAGTATTTAACACGTCTGCGTTGCGTTTTATTTTATAACTATACTATAAAGATTCTACGTTGATGATGAGAATTGTTGAGATCTTGCCTTTCCTTGATAGTTTCCACGTGCTGGTAGTATGCACTATATGGCGAGGTAGGAGGTCGTAAATCTCCAGATCCTTTTAACGTGGTGCGCTTGACGGAGAAGTGTGAGGTCTTAAATCTCTGGACACTTCTTCGTGTAGTGCCACGTGGTAGTCACCTGATTGTGGTCTCCTCTTTGAGAAAGTGCGCGTTGGCACTGAGCCTTGAGGAAGTGCGCGATGGCACTGAGTACGAACAGGTGTGCGTTGGCATCGGATTCTTGAGGAAGTGTGAGGTGGCACTGAACATGAGGAATTGTGCGTTGGCACCGGGTATGAGAGAGTCCTCCAACAGCTTCATACGCTTAGGCACTATGTATGAGGTTCGACGTTGAGTAGTTGCACGAAACTGATGAGTATTCTTTCCGTAGCGGCTTTGCTGAGAGAGCTTCTTACTTCCTTGGCGTCCCCAATGTTAGAGTGCGACTCCTTCACTGTAAGAGAGCGCGTATTCCTTCCATGGTATCCCCATTAAGGGAGCGCCTGTGTTTCTGAGTGACAGCTCATGGCTGAGTAACGCGTGGCTTACTAGCACCTTTCCCATGGTGTGCTTGCTTTAAATATCCACGCGACAACAACGAAGGCGATTGTGGTGCTAGAAGCAATAGTTGTGACTGTGCATTTTAGGCTTTTTATCTGATGTCCAACGGTCGTTAGACTTTTCCGCAGATGACTAAGAACTTGGGTTTTCCCAGATGCGTAGAGGCAACGTCTTTGCCAGATGTCTAATGACTTGGACTTTCCCCAGATGTCTAACTTTCTGGAAAGGTTCTCGCAATTTTGAACTATTTGAAAGTACAATTCATTTTAAAAGTTACTTTAAATTACAATTGATTTATTTGCTTTTAAAATACGGTTATAAATTACCGATTTTATAAAAATTGATTCAATGGAAAACAAAATGGGTTGGCTGTTGCTCATTCCTGAAAAGTGCCAATACAAACTAAATGCTGTCAATGTATTACCTAAAAATGCTACTAATATTTATTAAAATAACACCCCTGATTTATTATAAATCAACATTCTATTTCATATAATTATTTGACAATATTAAGTAAAAACAGTTCATTTTTTAGAGAACTGTCTATATTAAATGGTAACAAATCATAGAGGTACTGGTGATTTCAAGTTTAACTAAACATTTTATTTTAAAACATGCAGTCAACATAAGGTATTCGAGTATACAACACTTAAATGTGCTAATGCAGGCAAGAGTCTCTTTATACACAGATTGATTAATGTAATAAATACTGTTGTATTTCTATTTATTTTAAATTTAAAAACGCTAAACATTTAATATTCATACTTTAAATAGAATACCTGTAAAATATTTTAAATTATCTGGATTGAACATTTTATTTTAAATACGATACTGTATTATACAATATTTAATGTAAGTTATTTCTTTTAAATTACATTATTTAAAAAACTAGAGTTTTTAATAAATTTTTACTAACTTTGCAGTATCTAAAGTTTTAACAATTTTTTGTATATTGAATTCTTTATTTTTTATAAAATCACAAAATAGTATCAATGATTCTCTATTACTAATTAAGTGAGCAAAAATAATAGTATATAATATTAGTATAAAATTATTCTAATTATATATCTATAAAAATACAAATTAACATACACAGTTCATTAAATTTGAATTGTATATTATTTGACTATTAAAAACTCATTTTTATTACTTGAAATAAACTGTATATGTATATATGTGTAAAAAATATTAATATATCAATTTATACTAAACTACAGAATTTTATAATTTCTTTGTAAACATTGAAATTATATTATTTGAGTAATGGGTTTTGGACAATTTTTAAAATTGTATTCATAAATTTATTTATGATTCTCCTACATATAATAAGAGTTCAAATATAAAAAATTGTTTAAATTATTTTTCCAAGTACATATATAATTTTAGTTACATTCTTATACTATTAAATTATATATATTACATTAGAAATTAAGATTACTATAAAATATGCAATATTTTAAATTTATGAATCATCCATATTTCTTTAAGTATATTGAATAAATATAAATAAAAATAGTCTTAGAATATGAAATAGAATGAAGATATTTACCTTCTATTTTTAAGTTATCATTTATTATTTCATTATCAAATTAATATATATATTACCTTGTCACTGCTCTGCTACATAAACAATAGATGCAAGTATTTTCATCAAAAACATTGTCTTTGTTTGCAACATACAATACAGCAAGTGTCTTACTACAGTGTTCATGCATATTATTCAAACAAATATTTAATTTTATTTTCAATATAGTTCCTTAAATTAAACTCTGCAATCGGCAATGTATGGTTACGCGTTAGAGATAAATCATTTGGTTATAAAAACCTATGTTATATAAGTAATACAACTAAATTTTATATCAAGTCTATTTGTTTTAATTGACATTTCTTACCTAAACATTTTCAATATAAAAGTTATATTTTAAACGTTTATTTGAAAAACTAATTTCTATAATACAATTGTTTACAAATTTAATTTTTGTATGAATCTGTTTGTCGTAATATACTAAAGACAGAAGTTTAGGTTAATTGTCTTTTTAACGCGCGCAATTTAAGTTGCAGAATCTTTGAAAATTTTCAATTGTATTAATTTCAAATAAAATCCATAAAAATGAAATATTTTACAAATATATTAATAAAAATTAATGATAAATAACTAAAATTTGTTTTATTTTTCTAAATTTTATAACAAAATATTAGTAACTTAAAACAAATGAAAGAATTAAAATTTTTATACTTTATTATTGTTGCTATAATATAAATTTGTTATTAGAAGTATAATATTTTGTTTGATATCACTAATAAAATACTTGTATATTAATGAAATGTGTGTGCCTATATAATATACATCAATTTTTTGTTCAAATCATTAACTGATATATATTTTTATTATTTAAATAATTAAATTTTCTATAGTTTTAGATTATAGTGTCTAGTAAACATGACAATAAATTATATAAGTTACAATAAATATATTTAACAAGTAATCAAAAGCTAGTAAGTGTTTATTTTATTTTATTCTGTAAATAATAAAAATACATACTATACTTATTTGAAAATTTAATGTAATTGAAATGAAAAGATAAATTTATTTATCTAAGTAAAAGAAAAGGAATTATTTACAAATTATTGTACTTGCATACATATTTTACATAAGTGTTTTTTACAAAGAACTATAAAAAGTTGTTTATTGTAAATAAGTTTTATATAAAAATGCTTTGATACAAGTCTGCATTTATGATCTACATAAAATTCTAAATACTTCACCTTTTAATCCTATAAAACCTTGATAAATTCTAAACAGCTATTCAATTTCATTGGTGACAGGCTCAATTAAATAAAAATACATACAAAGTGATATATATATATCAATGTAAATCATCATTTATTTCTTGATATTTTCTTTTATCTATAGTCAATTTTAACAAAAATTCTTTAAAAAATAGAATTAATCATAAAATTAAAAAAAAATAATCTTAAAAATAAAGAGCGATTTAATAGTTAAATGTAAGTATGAAACCATGAATAAATTTTTTGTTTAACCAACAACCAATTTAACTAGTAACATTAAGACCTTGTTATTATTACAAACCTTGTAAAAGCAAGTTTAATAATAGTATATAAATCCAGAAACAAATAGATATTAAAATTACTTGTAAAAAAAAATTTAGCAGTCAATAGAATATAAAAAAAAATAAATTTTAAGTTATATAAATTCAATAAATTATAAGATATGTTATACTCATTATATATTATAAAAAATAAGCACTGATTTTAAATTTCAAACATATTTAATAATGTTTTTCCATAAAAATCATGAAATTCTCTATGAAATTAAAATAAGTGGAAAATATGACTTCAAACAACTTAATATTTATGTACTACAAAGCATGTTCTATATATTAAATTTCGTTATTTAAGGCTACAATTTTATAATGATTTGTCTACTAAATTCATAAATATCTTTATTTCACTTTTAAATATTCTTAATTATTATGTGGTATTAAAAAATTATTTTCTTTAGTATAAATATATTATTAATTTTATTTTATTTCTTATGACATTTTCAATTCAATTATTAGGTAGTAGTGTAATTTGATCATTTTTATATCATTTACCACACACGAAAACATCCTTTTAATTAATTTTCTTTTTCAAATTCACATTGTACTCTTTGTTTCTCCAACTGCATTCTGAAAAAAATATATATAGATTTTTATACTTATTGGTTATAAAGAAGTATTGTTGGGATTACTTTTTTTTATAATATAATATATCTGAGTCTGGTTACAAAATATATGTATTCATTCATTTTAAAGTATAAATAAAAGAAGTAAATATAAATCTTTATAAAAATAAAATACTAAATACCTTATAATATACTAGATACTTTGTTAGACGAATATTAAGGAATAAATATGAAATAAATTCTATAGGCTCAATCATTCTTTGAATTAAAAATATTTCGTTAAATTAATTTTTAAGTTAATAAATAATAAATTTTTAAAATATATATATTTTAATGTAATATTAAAATATTACAAAATTTGTTTTTTATCTATGACATTGCTTTTTATGCAGAACAAATATTTTTTTAAAAGGTTTAAGTTTAATATACTTGATGTTGTTTTAATTAATTTTATTTCATCTTTTAATAATAATGTATACAATTAATATCATATATAATTTATTTTTCATTTATTAGTTTCTAATTATTTGCTTGTAAGCTGAAAAATACCTTTCTACATATTTTTTGGTCAATTATTTATTACTATTTTAAATCTAAATTTTATGATTTAAATTTTAATTAAATTTAGTTTAAAATATAATTTAGAAGTGTTAATTCAAACATTAGAAATAGCATATAATTTAATCAAATTACAAGTGTATCGTTCTCTGAAAGTTTCAATTAAAAATACCGGATATTAAGATGTTCGAGAATATAACCTTTACAAATTTGAAAAAAAATACAAATATACCTTAATTGTTGGTTGAAGTCATCTTCAACGTCATCATCATCCCAATTGTCTTCCCACACACTTATATCTTCATTATCTTCATCCTTAGCTGTCCAATCTATAATTTAAAAATTAAATTACTTAATAAATTTATTTTTATCCGATATAAAATTAATCAATGTTATATTATATCTAAGTAAACATTATAATGCAGATTCTTTAAGCTAATGATAATGAAACATTATATATAAAATAAAAGCAATTTTTAATATATATAAGTAAAAATTTAATAACTAATTTGTGACAAAAATTTTTTATGATGATGTCATTTCATTATAAATATGATTATACCAGATATGAACTAATAACAGAACTATATAATAACTTTGGAGGTAAGCATACTGAATGAATAATAAAAAATTAATATTTTAGAAATAATTATTGAAAACAAATATATACTATATAGTTTAAAAAAAAAATCTAAAAATCTAAATCTAATGAATCTATTTATGATAAATATTTTTTAGTATTCATAAAAATTTGATACATTTCATACCATAATTTTTTATAAACACTTAGTTATTTTACCTATCCTAAGTAATCTTATTTTATATAAGAAAATTAATTTCTTACCTTTGTTAACCCTTTTATTATAGAACATAATTAATATGATCAAAGAATTAAATCATATTCTTATTGCATACAATATTTCCATATTTAATATAAAGTTTTGTAACTTCATTAAAACAAGTTTGACAATATTTATATTCTTTTTAATAATTAAGGTAATATAATTATTTAATAGATGTTACATTATAATAAATATATTATCATTTTCAAACATTGGAATGAAATATTTGTATATATGATGAATAGGTAGTGAATAATTATTCAATTTTATAATTTCTATTAACTTAAAAAAAAATTGTTTTGAATCAAGTATATATAAATGGTTTATTGACTATTTTTATATATTTTACAATTTTATTTTATTTCATATCTTAATTTGTTTACATAAGTTTGATTATTATTTATTCCAATTTCAATTTTTTTGTTTTTATTATATTTCTATTCAGATTTTAATTAAAACTATATAAAAATTTAAAAATTTGTAATTTAATAAAATAGTTAGATAAATTTATAAACCTTAATCTCATAAAATTTCAACACATTAAATTTATAATAATTTTAATAATTAAGATTAAAAGGGAATATTTTTTAAATTTTTAAAATAAAAATAACATTTTTTAAAAAAATTTAGGAAAAAAATAAAATAATTAATCACAATATTCTATCTATCATATGAATATATCTTTTTTAGATATAATTTAATTAATATCTGTATATAAAAAAAATTGTATTTTTTAATAAAGAGCAGTTATAAATATTTTAAATGAATATATTTAAAATAAGATTTTTTATTTATGATTCATATATAGAACAGTCTGCAAAACTATTCCTGTATAAAGAAAAAAAAATCTATCAAAATAAAAATTATAATTACACAAAAAGCTCGTTTTTATAATGAAATTTTTAATATATAAGAATTTATAATACTTATATATTGAAATATATACTAATATTTAAAATAAAACTGGTATAATAAAATTGTTTGACATACCTTCTGCTGGGAACTCTTCAAACTCGTCATCTTCTTCTAAAAGCCCTAAATCAACTTTCACTTTATCATTTTTGCTATCTGACATTTTATATAATTAATTTTTTTAAATATTCAATTAAGTTGTACAGAATAGAAAATATGATGCTATTCCTTTAATTCAATCACAAACTAACAAATTAGATAGAAATATAATTACGTATACTGCTCCTATTTATATACACTTTTCGTTCAAATGACATCACTTGTTATTTAAAATTTTTAAATAATTTATAACCATAAAAAATTGAATTGTATTACATTAATTTGTAAATAGAATAACAGCTAAAAGAGAAACTTAAATTTATTTATTATAAAATTAAGTAGTATGTAAAGAACTTTTTATTGGGAATAAGAATTTTTCACGTCATAATAACAAAACGCATTTAATTAATAATATCGCATAAAAATGAACCACCATCCTTGCATGCGCAGTAAATGTCAAATTTCATTAGTACTTATAAATCCATAAAATACATTAAATAAATGAAATATTACTAATTCTAATAAATTATAAATTCATGAAATGAAAATAATGATAATGTAATTTTAAGAACAATTGAATTAAGTTTTTAAAGAATTTTGATGCATTAGGAATAATGTAAAATTTTGCCATTTGAATTATAATTATATGAATGAAATATTTCATTACGACGTCTTTATCACTTCATTATAGCTTTACTACACGTATTTATATATTTTTTATTATAGAACATTGAACTTAACAAAAGCAGAATATAGTGGTTTATAATACTGAATATGGTACATCTTAATTTTATACTAAAATATGTATAATCACTTTCTTAAGTAATTTATTACTTATTATGATTTATTTATACTAAGTACATGGAAAAAGCTACTAGAATAAAAAATAATATTAAGGCATTTTTTAAATCGATTTAAATAGAAGTATCTAAGAAATTATAAATCCATAAAAATAGAAAATATTTGTTTATAATAAAATAATTGATGATGAAAATATTTGATTTTAAGATAATTAACAATTTTTTTTTTAGACTTATCTGCTAAAATTAAAAATACAAGTGTTAAAAAATCATAGTTTCTTTTAAGAATGTAGTTCAATTTTGCCTTCATTCGAATTATATTTATATGTATATTATCTGCTTTTAATTGTGATTTACTTCATAAGTTACGTCAATCAATGACTATTATTGGTTCTAGCTAATCCAGTTATTCGACCGATTATGATATTTTAAACATTTTTATGAATTTAAATCTAAAATATTTATAAAATTCTATAATACATATTGTATTCTGATTTAGTAATATTCAGAATATAAAAAAAAATTAATAATATAATTAATACAATTAATTATACTTCATGTTCTTATTTTTCATTTTTTATAATTTTAATAACTTTGAATTAGATTAAATTGTTTTAAGCTTATTACCATAATATTCGTAATTAAAAATCAATTAAAAATAATATGAATTATCTAAGATTAAAATTATAAATGATCTATTAATCCTACTATTTTTATTAACTTCGAAATATCTGACTTTTTAAATTTAGTATTGTTTAAGATTTTATTTCTAGAAGTAAGTATAATATCAATATTTTTTATACAATGTGATGAATTCTTATGGTTAAATTACAATTATCTTACAAGGTATTTTTCAGTAAATAATCACATTTTAGCGGAAAACAGCGTATTTAAAATATGATTTGGAGAATAATTTGATGAGATTTTATCAGTAACAAAACTGGAAGATTAGAACATTATCTTACCTACTCCTACCTAACCAGTAACTGCGAATTCGACAATTAAATATAAATATAAAAATCTATTATTTATTGCTTGATTTCCCTTTGATGTTTTATGTCAATCGAAAAATACTTTTATCTATCTTAGTTTATTTCAAATATAATATTTAAAAATGATTATTTATTTAATAATTAAAAATCTTAATTAATGGTAGGAATTGTCAAGAGCATTGTGTTCTAGCATGTATGAAACAAATACATATTTTGCGCCAAATTAAACACGCATATACTTGTAATATTTTAAGATTAACGAAAAGAAGAGCTACATTGAACGATATCTTGAAAATTTGTAGTTTTAAAAATTAAATTACTATTTTGGAAATCTGTAAAAAGTGCTATAATTTAATAATTCATACAACTTGTTACGGGTAAATTAATCTTTGAAACTAAATATTACAAATTGCCTATAATTTTCTAATAAATTTTATGAAAAATATTTATTAGTATAAACAATATTTACTTCATTTATTTTTAACATATTTTTATTAAACATTACAATAGTTTTATTTATGTTTTTATTGGAATATCGCATTTCCCTCCTGCATCTGTTTTTCAACCCGAGGACCCCGGTTTGGTGAGTCTTTTAACATCCTCAGCACGCCTTGCATGCCATCGGCCGATTAATTGCTCATTGTACCAGGGTAGATATGGACGCTATTGTGGGTGGTGAAGGAGTATAACAATGTTCTCAACCAATGATCTATCTTCTGTCTGTGGGATGTGGTTCCTAATCTTGGCAATCTTGTACTCTTTGCAGTCTCGCTTTATCAGTGGTCAGTGTCTTTTCATGGTAAAATAGCCCACATGCGCTAGTCTAGCCTTGTTCTTGATATGATAGGATTCACGCAATTTGGAGCGTAGAACCATATATGAAGTACCTTCAGGAGGACCAATTTCATTGTAGAGAAAGGAATCATTTCTATCCTGAATGTAGGAAGATTATTGCCTATGACATTTGTCAGGAGATCATAAATAGGAAGTATGAAGCGAATGGACCAGGAGTGGTAGTTTGCGTATACGAGCCTTGCTTGCTCAAGGAGCAGCAATTGAACCTGCGATTGAACCTATCTGACTTAAAATAACCAACTCTGTCACTGGACTCAGGTAAGATATTCTTGCATCTGGGTTCACAATATAATTACCTGATATTATGGTTGAAAACGAGCTTCGAGGGTAATCGTGATAGTGAGGCACTTCAAAGTGTGCCTTCCTTTGCTGATGCGATATTCTTTCTAAGAGTATTAGTGGTATTTCGTTCCATCCCTTCCTTGGTTGCCAAGTTGTTGTTAACTTGCACTGCAGAGAAGTGGGATATCTTAAATCTCCGGATACTTCTTGTTGCGATATTCTTAGTGAACGGTTACTGCACAGGGAAGTGGGAGGTCCTAAATCTTCGGATTCACCTTAGTGAATCTAGTGGAAGAACCAAATGTTCGATAGCTTTATTATAATTTGCCGTCCACCAAACGGATACTTATGAAGGACTTAACTGGAAGTGCTGTAGAGATATAGTGTGTGTATGCTTCATTAAATATGGTTTATTTAGAATTACAGTGTTGACATGTTGCATTTATATGATGGAATAGTGCATTCAATGTTTACACGCAGCGATGTAGTTGTATTGACCTAATCCCATGATGAACAGTTCACCGTCACGAGAGGCTCCGTGATGATGGTAACGATGTTATTCCTGATCTTGTAAGGATTAGCAATGGACTTTGCATAATCCGTGACAAAGAATGTTTCGACACTATGCTTCTTGAAGTGTAATATTTTTCTTGAAAGGGAGTAGATGGTGTCACTAAGTTGTTACTGCCGATTTATACGCACAGGAGAATGATATGTGTTCCCTTTGTAGTGGCGTCACTGAGAGATCAGCTGCTCTATGGTGACCCTGTCAAGACAAAGCTCGATTGATCCCTTTATATCGACGTCACTAAGAGAGAGCTTGTGGGACAGGGACCGCTTTCTCGAACCATGCTTGCGTTAAATATCCATGTGACAGCTTAGTTAGTGTTGCTAAGAATGGAGGCAATTGTGGTGCTAGAAAGAGACTGCTTCAATATAAAATTATATTGAAAATTTACTCCATAAATTAAATGATTTTAAACGCAAACGATAACTGTATGAATGACAGAATAATTATTATCCATACTATCATTTAGTTTATTTCTAAAAATTTCTAATAAGATTTAATTTTGTAAAAAAAAAAATCTACCTACATAAATCTATTTGTGTACCTAAATTACTCACACTCTTCAATTTTATTCTTGTCTCTGTACTGTAAAAGAAATACAGACGTTGGCGCACTATATTACTGGCATACGAATGTGCAAATAAAAAAAGAAAAATCTAGAATAAGTCTTTCCTTTTTATTTGTGCATAAGATATATTTTGATAAATGTTTTTCTTTTTATATTTTCTACTGCATAAATCAGAATATAAAACAAATTGAATAAGGGACAAATTTAAAGCTTGGATATGCATCAGAAGCTGAATCTGCTCCATGGTACAATAATGATAAATATTATAACGTTTCATTTTTGATAAATGGATGACATAAAGAAATGTAATAATAAATAATAATTAAATCTATAATAATATAAAATAAATATATAATTAGTATATTATATTTTATACTGCATTATTACCTAAAATATTTAACAAATATAAAATAACAACGGATAAAAATAGAATAATAATTATATATAAATATTGCAATTGCATATATTTACAATGGAGAATAATAAAAACAACTAAATGTTAAATAAAACTTTCGGGTTTCTGTTAACCTTATTTTGAAATAAAATAAAGTTTATGGTATTTGCTGAACTAAATCTTTTCATAATCGCAACCAGAAGTTTGAATCTTAAATGAATTTAGTAGTGTTTAAAGTATTAATCATATATATTAAGTTTTAGAATATTCTAAAACTTAAAATTGAATTTTGAAATTGAAATTTGAAAAACTGGACTTTTTCTTTTTCATTATATTTAATAAATGATGAATTTTGAGTATAATAATTTTTAGTTTTATTAAAAGTAGTATAAATTATGTTTTTATTTTATTGAATATATAATAAAATATATTTAATTTTCTTTCATTTTTTAATTTTATTTGCAATAGTCTGCGAAGTAATTATTCAAAATCTGTAACAAAATAGTATAATTTAATTAACAATTAAACTCTGTTTATACAAAATTAATTGATTCGTGCATAGTGTTAGTTACATCCCATTTTATTTAATTTTTATTGAAAAATAAGTATATTCTGTATTTTAAATTACATTTATTACTTCCTACTTTTTCTACATT